GGGGGAGGTCACTCACGGGGGAGAGGGCGGTCACTGTCATGGGAGGGGAAGGTCACTCACGGGGGAGGGGACAGTCACTGTCACGGGAAATGGAGGTGGTCACTCATGGGAGAGGGGGATGGTTGCTGTGGGAGAGGAGGGTAGCCACTGTCATGGGGAAGGCGGTGGTAACTGTGGAGGAGGGAGGAGGTCACTGTCATGGGGGAGGGAGGTGTCACTCATGGGGGAGGGGTGGTCATTGTCAGGGAGGGTGGTCATTGTGGGGGAAGGTGGTGGTCACTGTGGTGAGAGGGGGGCCACAGTGGGGGAAGGGCAGTCACTGTCTCCGGGGGCACTGGCCAGTTTGACATTCTTGTTCTGTAAGTTCCAGCAAGTTGTGCGGAGCCCACTACTCCAGGCTCTGGGGATGGGAGGTGAGGGCTGCTTACCGTCTGTTGGGGCAGGGACTTACCAGAGGCCCCCTTGGGAAGCAGTAGGCAGGGAAACAGGGCAGTTGGGCACGGTGGGGAGGGTCTCCCTGAGGAGAGTGGGGAGGAAGCAGCAATGGAAACAAACACCATGGAAGCAGCAATGCTCAGATCGGGGTGTGCTCAGGGGCACAGGGAAGCCAGCAGGGGTCCTCAGGGTGGGTCTCGGTGCTCAGATCGGGGTGGGGGGGGGTACTCAGGGGCACAGGGAAGCCAGCAGGGGTCTTCAGGGTGGGTCTCAGTGCTCAGATTGGGGGGTGCTCAGGGGCACAGGGAAGCCAGCAGGGGTCCTCAGGGTGGGTCTCAGCGGCCCCAATAGCCTCTCCAGGAGGGGCAGGACACTCTCACTCAGAATCCAACTGCACCAGGCCTGGGAGGGCCACAGCGCCAAGGTCACTGCCCAGACCTGAGGCCGGTCCGGTCTCCACTGTCTCCTGCCCAGTCACCCGCGAGCCTCCTGAGCCAGCCATACGGCACCCCGAGGGTCCTCTGAGGGCCCACCACCTCCCACAGGGCCCACTACACTCTGCCTATGGCCATATGGGCTCTCCAAGCTGGCAAGTCCCTGAGGACAGGACATCCCTTCACCTGCCCACTTCACAGATGAAACGACCAAGACCAATCAAGGTTCAGGGTCACCCAGCCAGTGAGTGGGCATGGGCCCAAAGCCAGGACAGCATGTCCCCAGTTGGGCCTGTATTTTGTCCCAAGGACGATGCTGGGGAGGAGGACAAAGGAAAGGGAGGCTGGCGGGGCCAACAGTCCCAGCGGACAGGAGCCCCCAACACCGCCCCGACCCACACCCTGCCCGACAGCAGCCCCAGATGCTGAGGAAACCCAGAACAAGGAGGGCGGTGCCTGGGAACTGGCTGACGCTGGCCCACTGCTGACACTGGTTCCCGCCCGGGCCTCAGGTGCCCCGCATGTTCACACCCCCACTATCCACCTAGGAAGTCCTTGAGGGCTGGCCATGCAGGGTGGTCTCTCAGACCTCAAATCTCCTTGGGAGACTTCTAAACCTATACAATCTTGCAAATTCCAAAGTCCCCAGGGACTATGGGAGGGGAGATGAGGGGAGGGGAAGTCCTGGCTTCCAGAGGAACGGGCTGCAGCCAGCCGAGGTGCGTAATACAGTCCCACAAACCCCGTTGCCCACCCACCGCCCTATTCGGGCTGCAAAGATGGCTCCAGAGCTGCCAACCGGGCAGGGCCTGGGACGTGGGGCCTCCGCTTCGTCTCAGCCTCTCAACCGTCACACGGGAGCCACTGTCACAGAGCCACTGCAGACCCGGGGGAGGGCCTCCCGAAGGCTAATGACAATTTGGGTTTTGTTTTTCCCATTTGCAGAGTCCAAAGGGAGGGAGGGCTGCGGTGTGGGGCGCGCTCAGTGCAGGTGCCTTCCAAGAACCACCCCGCCACCCTCCGTCCCGGACCTGCTGTTTGCTGCCACGAGGCTCCACATCCTCTGAGTCACCCCCAGCTGCAGACAAGGAAACTGAGGCTGGGAGGGCCAGGCTGGCCGTGAAGCCTGCCTATTCAGTCCCCCTTCTAGTCCCCCTGCTACTGTCTTCAGCACAGTGCTGAGCTGTGAGGGATCCCAAGGGCCACAGGCAAAGCCCAACCCACCCAGTTCCTCTGGTCTGGACGCAGGCCCAGGCCCTTGAGTGAATTCGGTTCAGCCCAGAGCCCCGGCCCCTCTCCTGCCCTGAACCGGCCCCTCCATCTCTCGGCTCAGAGCCCTGGCCCCCTCCTGCCCAGACCCAGGCCCCCCATCTCTCCACTGACAACTGCAGTGGCTTCCACGTGGGGCGCCCTTGCCCCAGAAAAGGCCGCTACTCGCCCACACTCGCCACACAGAGCGCCAGAGGAAACCTGGGGCTAGGATGCCAGATGGCCAGGCCCTCACACAGAGGACCGTGGCGGGGGGGGCAGCCGGCCCAAGCCTCCACTCCTCTGAACCCTGTTCCGGGGTGGCTGCACCAGCACGAGCCCTCACAGGCCCTGGGAACAGGACTCCCAGCCAGGACAAGGAGAAACCAGCCCTCAAGTGAAGGCGCCACACCAGAATCCCAAGACCCGTTCCATGGACGCTGCTGAGTTAGCTGCCAGGAGGCTGGAGGTGGGCCAGCTCTGCTGCTGCGCAGGAGCCCCGCCTCCCCTGTGTGCCACCCTCTTCCACCACCTCACGCCCAAAGCCCCATGTCGGGGGGGTTTGGGGCCTTTGGCAGGAGGAGCTTCTGTGAGCAGCCTCCACCCCTCGGACTCAATCAACAAGCAGCCTCCCCTCTCCGCACGCCACTCTGCCCCGCACGGGACGGCTGAGCCTGGCTGCCCACTGGGCTGTGACGGGACCTTCCCAGGGGGATCTCAGTTCTGGCGCTAAGGGGAAGGAGGTCCGTCTGCCTCTCTGGACATGAAGGCTTCAGGCTGGCACTCCTGGAGGAGCTTCTGGGCTCCCGTTTCTCTGCTTCTCTAGGAACAGTGAGCCTCACCATGTCAGCAGAGAGGATGGAAACCTTCTCTGCTTCAGGTGGTTCTCTGGAGCATCTCAGCAAGAGCAAAGGGCTCATCCAGCCCGACAGAAGCCACAGGCCCAGAGCTGGTGCCTTCCTCTCTGGGGAGCTCGAGGACGAGAAAGGGCAAAGGGGAGGACACCTCACAGAGGTGGCAGGGCCCTGAACGCAGGCCTCAAGAAATGGGCACTCCTCCACCAGGCCAACGTAAGGGGTGCCACAGCAGAGGCACAGAGGTGGCGGCCAGGGAAGGAAGGGGCAAGGGAGAAGTGGGCTGGGCCCCAGCACTGTGCATATCCCCTTCCTTCAAGGGTGCAAGGCCTGCTCCCTGGGAGAGCAGAGCCGGCCACAGGTCCTAAGCCAATCACTTAGCTGACTTTCTAGCAAGCCTCTGCTTTTCTAGAAGAATCGGCTCTTAGCAGACATTTGTTCTGTAAACCCAGCCCCTGGGAGCTTTAGAGTGGGCAGGCCCTAGCACCCTCTGCAGATGGGGCCAGAAGAAGGGAAGGACGTTGAGGGTCACACACAAAGGCTCACGTACGACTGCCAACAGAGCGTGTCCCCACCACGCTGCCTGACTCCTGTGTTCTAAGTGCACTCAGTACTCAAGGGAGAAGCAGCTCGCTCACACGTGCGTGCACACATGCACACACACACTCACATGCACTCACACATGCACACACAGGCACTCACACATACCCAAACATGCACTCACCCATGTACTCACACATGCATGCACGCAGTCACATGCACACACATACTCACACATGCACTCGTGCACACACACACATGCCCACATGCACTCATGCACACATGCACTCACACATGCACTCATGAACACACATGCACTCACACATACCACACACTCATGCACACATGCACTCACACATGCACACGTGCACTCACACATGCACTAACACATGCACTCACATAGGCCAACACATTCACTCACATGCACTCACACTCATGCACACACATGCCCACTCATGCACACATGCACTCACACACATGCACATACATGCTCACACACATGCACACATGTACTCACATGCCCACACACTCATGCACACACATGTACTCACACATGCACTCACACATGCCCACACACACTGATGCACACACATGCACTCACATGCATTCACACACATGCACTCACATATGCACACACACATGCATGCACACACACATGGACTCACACACACACCTGCCTGGACTCGTGTACCTCTTGGGATACTTTGTTTCAGCAACTGTCTCAAGGAGATTAACCATGGTCTAGAGCAGGCGTCCCCAAACTTTTTACACAGGGGACCAGTTCACTGTCCCTCAGTCTGTTGGAGGGCCGCCACATACTGTGCTCCTCTCACTGACCACCAGTGAAAGAGGTGCCCCTTCCCGAAGTGCGGTGGGGGGCCGGATAAATGGCCTCAGGGAGTCGCATGCGGCCCGCGGGCCGTAGTTTGGGATGCCTGGTCTAGAGACACGTTTGGCAGCCGGTATCATACACAGGAAAACTTTAAAGAAACGAAGAATAAGCAGCACCCAGTGCCCACACTCTGCAGTTGCACCCCGACGGCTCACCCCACCCCCTGCTGCTAGCACCATCAAATTGCAGGTTCAGCTCTGAGCAATTTATTCTAGCTTTCAGAAAAAATTTACTGGGAACTGCATTAAGAGCCAAATCATCTTCACTGGAGCTAAACAGCCTCCTGGAAGTCTATCCACGCAGCAAAGGAAATGGCCACAGTGACCGAGACGCCACCCCAGCATAGGCCCCGGCCTGTCGCCAGAGGGTCATGCCCTATTAAGGGGAGCCCAGGAAGGAGGGCATGAGGATGGGTCTCCCAGATTCCCATCTCTCCCTGACTGGACCCAAAGGCCAGAGAGAGGTGGTCAGCATGGTCAAGGCCATGGGGGCCTGGTTCCAGCCCCTCCAGACCAAGGGCAAGCAATGGTGCAGCAGGGCCCCAGCCTCCGCGGGTGCAGCATGGAGAGCGAGCATGCTTGCGCGCGCCGGCCTCACCTCCATCTGCAGGATGGCCTCCTCCCGCAGCCGGATGGCCTCCAGGTCCTCCTCAGTGATGTCCGGGAGCAGCGCCTGCTCCTGGCCCTGCCACACATTGTCACTGCCATTAAAGATCTTCTCATCATCAGACAGCTCGGCAAACGGGGCCTGGGGACTCTGCCAATGACAGACCTCATTAGCACTGGCACTCCCATTACCACTGACACCCCCATTACCACCACGGACACCCCCATTACCACTGACACCCTCCATTACCACCACTGACACCCCCATTACCACTGACACCCCCATTATCACCACTGACACCATTACCACTGACACCCCCATTATCACCACTGATACCATTACCACCGACACCCCCATTACCACCGATACCCCCATTACCACTGACACCCCCATTACCACCACTGATACCCCCATTACCACTGACACCCCCATTACCACCACTGACACCCCCATTACCACCGACACCCTCATTACCACTGACACTTCCATTACCATTACCACTGACACCCCCATTACCACCACTGACACCCCCATTACCACCACTGATACCCCCATTACCACTGACACCCCTATTACCACTGACACCCCCATTACCACCGACATCCCCATTACCACTGATACCCCCATTACCACTGACACTGCCATTACCACCACTCATACCCCCATTACCACCACTGACATCCCCATTACCACTGACATCACTGACACCCCCATTACCAGTGACACCATTACCACCAATGACACCCCCATTATCACCACTGACACCCCCATTACCACTGACACCCCCATTACCACCACTGACACCCCCATTACCACCACTGGTACCCCCATTACCACTGACACCCCCGTTACCAGACACTCCCATTACCACCGACACCCCCATTACCACTGACACCCCCATTACCACTGACACTCCCATTACCACTGACACCTCCATTACCACCACTGACACCCCCATTACCACTGACACCCCCATTACCACCACTGACACCCCCATTACCACTGACACCCCCATTACCACCACTGGTACCCCCATTACCACTGACACCCCCGTTACCAGACACTCCCATTACCACCGACACCCCCCATTATCACCACTGACACCCCCATTACCACTGACACTCCCATTACTACTGACACCCCCATTACCACCACTGACACCCCCATTACCACTGACACCCCCATTACCACTGACACCCTCCATTACCACCACTGACACCCCCATTACCACCGACACCCCCATTACCACCGACACCCCACATTACCACTGACACCCCCATTACCACTGATACCCCCATTACCACCACTGACACCCCGATTACCACTGACACCCTCCATTACCACCACTGACACCCCTGTTACCACCACTGACACCCCATTACCACTGAAACCCCCATTACCACCACACCTCAGGCCCAAGTCTTCCCATGGCTCCAAGCAGGCCACCCTGTTATGTCTCAAGATGAGATGCCTCTGGGAGTTTGGGGGTTCTGAGTTCCCAGCCACGCCAAGCACGCTGTGGGGGCAGGAGGGGAGCTGGGGCTGCTGAGAGCAGTGGGCCAGGGTCACAGGAGAGTGGACTCCAGTCCCTGCCTTTAGGCACATGCCCCACTCTCTGGCTATCCCAGGCCAGTCTGCAAGAACTTGTGAGCCCTAGGGTCCCCACACCAAGCCACCAGAGCCACCCTGTCTTTGGCCAGATGGAGGACACAAGAGCAAAACGTGGCCCCAATCCCAGAGAGCGCACAGTCTACTTTGTGTTCCCAGCTTTTGGGGGTCACAGGCCCCTTTGTGAATCCCCAGAAAAATGCCCCTATGCACATAAACACAAATTCTATCTCCTTACTTTGGGGGCCGTGAGCCCACTGAAGGCCCCATCAAGAAGCCAGTTAGAGCCGGTGTCAGGCTGAAGCCCGGGGCTCAGAGATGAGGTGGACTGCAGGCAGGGCACAGATGCACCCGCAGGAACCCGCATGAACCCACAGGAACCCACATGAACCCACGGGCACCCACAGGAACCATTGGGAACCACAGGAACCCACATGAACCCATGGGAACCCACAGGAACCCATGGGAACCACAGGAACCCACATGAACCCACAAAAACCCATGGGAACCACAGGAACCCACAGGAACCACAGGAACCCACATGAACCCACAAAAACCCATGGGAACCACAGGAACCCACATGAACCCACGGGAACCCACAAAAACCCATGGGAACCACAGGAACCCACATGAACCCGCAGGAACCCACATGAACACACGGGAACCCACATGAACCCGCAGGAACCCACAAAAACCCATGGGAACCACAGGAACCCACATGAACCCACGGGAACCCACAGGAACCACAGGAACCCACATGAACCCAAGGGAACCCACAAAAACCCATGGGAACCACAGGAACCCACATGAACCCACGGGAACCCACAGGAACCCACGGGAACCCACAAAAACCCATGGGAACTACAGGAACCCGCAGGAACCCACAGGAACCCACAGGAACCCACATGAACCCACGGGAACCCACAAAAACCCATGGGAACCACAGGAACCCACAGGAACCCACAGGAACCAGCAGGAACCCACATGAACCCACGGGAACCCGCAGGAACCCACGGGAACCAGAGGAACCCACAGAAACCCACATGAACCCACGGGAACCCACAGAACCCACAGAAACCCATGGGAACCACAGGAACCCACATGAACCCGCAGGAACCCATGGGAACCCACACAAACCTGCAGGAACCCATAGGAACCCATGGGAGCCCACATGAATCCTTGGGAACCCACACGGACCCACAGGAACCCTCGGGAACCCACATGGACCCGCAGGAACCCATGGGAACCCACAAGAACCCACATGAACCTGCAGGAACCCACGGAAACCCACAGGAACCCACACAAACCTGCAGGAATCCACAGGAACCCGCCCTCCCATGCCAGCCTCGGGAAGCAAGCCTGAGGGGTTTTTGGAATTTGTTTTCATTTCTTGTTAATTTAGTTGCTACATACTAAAATGCGACAAAATGGTGTTCTTCCCTTCACTTATCCCCATCGGCTCCCTGAGGGGACTATCTGGGTCTTAGGTGGGGCCTTCTGTGGCTGTGAGCCCATCCCTGGGCCTCAATCTGGGCCTCCCAGGTACCAGTTAAGTGGCAAAGACTGCAGATATCAGTCCTCGGCACCATCGGTCCTCCGCGTCAGGCCCCAAGTTGGGGTGTAGGAGCCTGGGAGTACCCAGCAGAGAGCACGACAGGGAGGAGGCAGGAAGGGTCCCTGCTGCAGCCACCACCTCCAGCTGCCCACATCCCTACTGAACTGGAGACAACAGACCATGGCCATCCCGCGCCACGGCCCTTCCTCCCCTCCCACCAGGAGGCGACCACGAGCGCCCTCCACCTGCCCTGCCCATGCCAGCAGGGCTGCCCTCACCTTAGGAGGGTGCATGTGGTTGTGCGCATGTGACTGCAAGTGCCTGGGTGGTTGTGGGAGGTGTGACCATGTGACGCCGTGTATGTGAGAGGGAAAAGGCACCTAGAACAGGCAGAGCAGAGGACGGGGGCAGTGGCCTGGCCAGGCCCGACCTCACCACCAGCACCTGCTCCGCTCAGCTGTGTCCCCGATCTTCCCAAAAGCCCTGCAGGGAGGAGCCGGGGCCCCCACAACGGCCGAAGACACTGAGGCAAGGCGAGGGGCTAGACTTGCGCGAGCAGGGGCGAGCCCATGGGGGTGTGACTGCAAGGGGGCTGGAGCTGTGCTCAATGAAGCAGGGGCAAGCCCATGGGGGTGTGACTGCGAGGGGGCTGGGGCTGTGCTCAATGAAGCAGGGGCGAGCCCGTGGGGTGTGACTGCGAGGGGGCTGGAGCTGTGCTCGATGAAGCAGGGGCGAGCCCGTGGGGGTCTGCAGCAGCACTTGCTCTCAGACACGCAGCAAGGTTGGGCGAGCACAAGGACAAGACAGCAATCATGGGGACAGCTGACCACGAACGGTGCCACGTGTTCCAGGCCCACTGATGCCACGTTGGCCACTGCTACAATTACTTGTTCCTCATGCCCCTGGACACCATCACGATCCTCCACCCACCATCCAGGAGACTCAGGAAGTTCACAGCTGCCTAAGCCACTCTCCAGCGAAGGTGCAATTCAGCAAACCTGGCCAGGCTGTGGCCTCCTGTGGCCCTCAAGAGCAGACCCATGATGGCCTCGGCCCCGCCCCAGGTCCAGCTTCACCCATGCTATGCCTACACACGCCCCCTGATACAAATCCTAGCACTGCCCTCCCTGCCCAGATAGGTGCTCTTCCAGCTGACTCACCCGGCCACTGGTCTTGGCCCAGTGGACATCACCATGTGTCTGGCGGGGCTGTGCCAGGCCCCATGCCTCAGGGCCTTCTGCGGCATTGGGGCAGGAGGCACAGTGTGTGGGCCTCAATAGGAGCCCCTGTGGGACAGGACTCTCAGGATGGAGGTCACTCAGCTCACAATGGAGCCTGGGACTCAGCCACAGGCCCCGTCCCTTGCCTGTCCCCACCCCAATCTCCATGGACCCTGGACTGTCTCCCCCAGTCCTCTGTGGAGGGCACAATCAGTGTCTCCTCCTGGGTCTGGGAAAGGCCCCACTAAGCACAGGGTCCTGGCCAGCTTGGCACCGCTGCTCATCAGCGCCCTCAGGCAATGAGGACAGCTTTGCCGGGTCCCAGACTCTGAGGGCACAGGGCCTGTCCTAGGTGTCGTCCTAGGCATGAGATCTGGGTGCAATGTGTGGGAGTGGGCATCCAGGCTGAACCCGGGGTGTAGGCAGCCTCCCTGCCTCTTCCCTCCCCACTGGACCCTGCTGGCCACCATGCCTAGGGACAGCACTGTCCACCAAGAGCAGCCAGCCACGCAGACCAAGAGGCAAGGCACCGTGGGCTACTCTGTCAGCGCTAGGCACAGAGGCAGTGGGGACACAGCTGCCAGCCAACCCATCCCACTCACACCAACCTCTTGCTGTGCCCCTCCTGTGTGTGTGGGCATCTGGGGCAGAGGCTGCTAGGTAGCCTGGCATTGGCTCATAGGACCTGCTCTGCCAACTCGGGGGATGATAACCTTGGTTGCCCTGCAAGGAGGCTGCAACCTGCTTATCTTCTGCCCTTTCCTGAA